AGTACAAAAATTCACAGGCTCTGCAGGTCACAAGACATCAAGTTCGAAAGTAGTTCAACAACCTTTCGTTGATATCTTTACCGAATCAAGCCCCTCCGTCGTAAAGAAAAAAAAAATGACTAGAAACTCTGTGTATTCCATTCTATGCTATTTTGATAAAGAATAAATAAAAAAAGAAGAAATGCCAGCTGTTTCATAAAAATAAGTTTGGAGGAGCGCTCGAAAAATTATTTTAGGAGATAGATGCCGAAATCAGGCATAGCTGATCATATACGAAGACAAAAGAATGTTCATCAGGAGTGTAAAAAATATTTTAGTAGGTACATTCTGAAATCAGGCATGGCAGATCATATACGAAGACAAAAAGGATGTTCATCAGGAACGTAAAAAATGTTCTAGTAGATAGATTCTGAAATCAGGCATGGCTGATCATATAGGAAGAAAAAAGGATGTTCGCCAGGAGCGTAAAAAATTTAGGGGATATATACTCTGAAATCAGGCATGGTTGACCATATATTAAGAAAAAAGGATGCTCAACACCTGAGGAATTAAATAAAAATAATAGACAGCAAAGATAAGACGAGGATAAGACGAGAGAAAAAATCAGCGCACACGTCATGGGGGAAAATAACTCAAGCCGTGAACTCTTTCGAATCTTTTTTCTTTTTGTTAGTTCATTCAATACAAGGCTCAAGAGCCACTTAAGGTAGAGGGTTATTGATTGAGATTGTGAGGGAGGTGGAAGGCGGAAGGAAGAGACTATTATGAGGACGAGATAGATATCGGTTGACTCAGGACTTAGACCAAGATTGTAGTTGCCAGGAGAAAACTCTCTGGGAAATTTGCTTAACGAAGTAACAGTTCTGAAGAAGAAACTGTCTGAACGGAACTTGTTTTCTATCAAAGGAGCACGAAGGAAGTATGATTGTTTTGCCAGCGTGGCGGGTCCGAGATGGAAAAGTCAAACAGAAAACTTGTCAAATTCAAATATTTTCATTTTGTACCTTCTTCTTCTTCTTCTCTTCTTCTTCTCCTCCCCCTCTTCTTCTTCTTCTTCTCCTCCTCCTCTTCTTCTTCTTCTTCTCCTCCTCCTCCTCTTCTTCTTCTTCTTCTCCTCCTCCTCCTCTTCTTCTTCTTCTTCTTCTCCTCCTCCTCCTCTTCTTCTTCTTCTTCTTCTACTCCTCCTCCTCTTCTTCTTCTTTTTCTCCTCCTCTTCTTCTTCTTTTTCTCCTCCTCTTCTTCTTCTTCTTCTCCTCTTCTTCTTCTTCTTCTCCTCTTCTTCTTATTCTTCTCCTCCTCTTCTTCTTCTTCTCCTCCTCCTCCTCTTCTTCTTATTCTTCTCCTCCTCTTCTTCTCCTCCTCCTCCTCCTCTTCTTCTTCTCCTCCTCCTCCTCCTCCTCTTCTTCTTCTTCTCCTCTTCCTCCTCTTCTTCTTTTTCTTCTTCTCCTCCTCCTCTTCTTCTTCTCTTCTTCTTCTCCTCTTCTTCTTCTTCTTCTTCAAATAATGACCTGTATTCATGCTTATGATTCTTTGTAATATTTGATTAAAGTTGTTTTACTCAAATCTTTAACTGTGCAATAGGGGAATTTCTGGGATTATTTAATAAGCGTGGAACGCGTAAGGAATTTATTCAATCATTAACTTAAGAATTAAAATTCGCCAAAATTTCAAATAGGCAAACCGTGCAATGTTCATGGATTCTGTTATTATATTAATATGACATGTTCAAACATGTTAGGTAATATAGTAAAATGCTATATATTTATATGGTATGTTGTTATATATTAGGTAGTATACTATACCATTCAACCATGCTTAGAATATTGCTGCCACAAATGGCCCGTTACCCGTCCTATTTACCTTGAGCTCCTTGATAAGATCCAAAGAAGTACAGTATTATTGGTCCTGATCTGGCGGCTCAACTCCAGTCACTCTCCCACCATCGTAAAGTTGCCTCTTTATGTCTTTACTATAAATACTTTCATGGTAATTGTTCGAATGAGCTCTTGGCTTTGGTAGATTGGGGATTACATTTTTAAATTGTTATTTTATAAACGCACAGACAAGAATTGCACATATGTGGACTAGTTAGGATTTCATAGAGACATTGAGGTATTATGGTGAATGTTGTAAGAATGGTAAGTAGGAATGTGATGTAAGGAATATTGTGGTATGTTTGGGTCAGTGATAGTGGCTAAGTTTAATGTTAAGACATAAGAAGATCATCTTTTTTCTCATTCCCAATTTTGGCCTTGAGCCACATTTCTGTATATAATGCGGAACAAGTATTGCGCTTTGCACTGGTACCTAGGGTTTTTGAATTTAAGCGCAGCACTAGACTGGCGTCGAATCAGTTGAGCTGGCTAGATGTAGCCGTAAATTCTATGTTAATAGTTTCTTTTCACGCACTTCCAGCTCCATGCTTTCCAGCCAACTTTAATCTGCAAAAATTTAAATGCAAAGTCGTTCGCTGACTACTCTCTTCTCTTTCTGTTAATCATTAATGTTTCTGTTCCTAATTTTTCCACACTCTGTTGGTTAGATCCAGTGACAGAACCCAAAGAGTGAGTTCAATACCCGGTTAAGGCAGTGGAGAACTTTCAGAGGGAAAATTAACAGGAGATAACTGATAACTAAATATGGCACGTGGAACTAGAACAGCCTACCCCAGTGAGCGAAACAAAGGCTTCAGTTCGACATTCCAACCACCGGAGCGTACAACGGCCGAAACGTCGTAGTAAATATGGCGACAAAGATAAGGACAATAGTGTAAATAATGTATATTGGTAATATATTAATATATTGTGTATTGTTACATATTGGGTACTATAGTGTATTAATATACGTTTATATTGATTAAATGGATCATTTTCTATGGCTTATCTACACTTTGTAGGTTAAACCGAGAAAAGAATTTTAGATTGTAAGAATTTTTATGTATTGGAGATAAAAATGGTATAGTGATACAAGTCTTAATAATTAACCCATAGCTGGGGGAGAAGAGGTGGATTTATACCAAGGTTATCTGCGTGTATATGAATATAGCAAACCCAGCTAGAATTAGAACTCGATTCTCCGATAAACAATTCCGAACGATCTACGCTTACAGCATGTGGTATTCCAAAGCGGTCACCCATAGAGGTACTGCCCAGACTCGACGTTGCTTAACTCCGGTGACCGTAACGTGATGCGGCCTTAAGCCACTTTTATACTGGGTACGATACTATGTTAATATACTATTCTATAATAATTATACGATATATATTTACATATTGGATGCTATACTATATTAATATACATGTCTGATTAAATAAATTACAAACATTATGTATGCTTATTTCTAGCATAATCCTTTCATATTCACGAATATTTTTCCGTGTATTACAATCAAATGAGGCAAGAAATGCACTGCAAATAGTGAAAATCACTTTTATTTCCCAAGTACTTTCTATCTCTTTCTGAGATTATCATCAGGGGTGCAACTGGTAACTTGAACTTTTCGGTGTCTCTTCACACACACACACACACATACACACACACACACACACACACACACACACACACACACACACATTTGAGATATTTAAAAAAGCTAGCAATAATAAGCCATAATAATTCTGCGTCGTCATATGAAAATTAAAAAATTAAAATCTAATCACTATCAATGGTCTGCAAGACTAGTTTGTTAATTCTCCTGCTTTAGAAAAATCTATCTATACAAACACACACACATATATATATATATATATATATATATATATATATATATATATATATATATATATATATATATATGTGTGTGTGTGTGTGTGTGTGTGTGTGTGTGTGTGTGTGTGTGTGTGTGTGTTGGGGACTGTCGGTAGTGTGCTAGCACGAAGTCACAAGTCAAAGTCATCGTGACCGAGGCTTTGAGTGTGCTGGCCTTGTTCAGATTGTTGATTATTCTAGGTAACACGCTCTCTCTCAGAAACTGTAACTAAGGTTGGATCTCTGTGTGTTGAACAAACACAAATGTACCTGAACGAGCGCCTGAATTAGGGATTGCATAGCCGCTCTAGTAGGCGGGTATCCTCGAATACGAGTAGCCAGCTAATATATATATATATATATATATATATATATGTATATGTATATGTGTGTATATATATATATATGTATGTAAATATATATGTATGTAAATAAATATATGTATATAAATGTATATATATGTATGTATATATATATATGTATATATATATATATATATATATATATATATATATATATATATATATATATATATATATATATATATATATATATATATATATATATATATGTGTCTGTGTATGTGTATGTGAGTGTGTTCATAAAAGTGCTTCTGTTAGAATTGAAAGTATCGTAGAAATGAAAGACGCAAAATCTTTTGTTGGGAAAATTAGATTTAAAAAGAAAATGTCTGTTTTTATCGGCTTGTAATCGGCGAATTACGACGTCTGATGCTGGAATTGGAATGGGTAGAATATGTTAGCACATTAAAGTAATTGAAAAAGAAAATAAGATTCAACATGAAAAACATTTTTTTTTTTTTGTTTTTTTTTTAAGGGTTAAATATATTTTGAAGATTTTGAAACGATGAACGAGACGGAACAAAAATAGAAGGACAAGAGAGCAGCAAAAAAAGAAAAAAAAAAGAAAAAAAAAAGAAAAGGGCCCGAATATTAAGTAGAGGTTTGTCAAAATAAAATTTTAAAAAATGAAAAGACATTAAAATTGAAAGAGGAAGAAAGATATTTCAAGTGTGTAAGATGTCAATAAACAAAAATGAATGAATTATGAGTGAATCTTTATTAAAAGAATAAAAATCTCAAAGCGGTTTTATTTTTTATTTATTTTTAGACTGAGGAACATCTCCAGTTGTGATAATAAAAAAAATTAAGAAGACGAAAGTGACAGGGAAAACTAAAAGAAAACAAGAAAAATTGATAATGAGAGAAAAAGAAATAAAATGAAAGATATAATCAAAATATCGTTAAAGGAAAATGAACGAAATGGTAGAGAATTGGAACAAGAAAGAAAGGAATAGAAAAGAAAACAAATGGAAAGAGTGAGTAAGTGAGTAAGTGAGTGAGTGACAGAGAGAGAGAGAGAGAGAAACTAAAACGAAAAAAGAAATAGAATGAAAGAAAGTGAGAGAAATAAATAAGATTAAATAGAGGGCAATAAACAAGGGGTAAAGAAAAAGGCAAAGATAAGGTGGAAAGAGAGAGAGAGAGAGAGATAGAGAAGAGAGAATGACCAAGTAATGAAAGACGGTAAAAAGAAAGAAAAAAATGAATTTGAAAGAAGACAAAAAGAAACGCCAAAGAGATGCAGTAGGAGGGCCAAAAAGACAGAAAGAATGGACAGAATGAGAGTGAAAGCAAAGAAAGAAAGAAAGAAAGAAAGAAAGAAAGAAAGAAAGAAAGAAAAGGGAGAAAATTTAAGAGATAGATAGATAGATAGATAGATAGATGAACAGACTGCGATAGATGAACAGACTTAGATAGATAGATAGATAGATAGATAGATAGATAGATAGATAGATAGATAGATAAAAAAATTAACAAAAGGAACAAAGAGCTGAATTTCAGTGAAGAAAAAATTAGTGTAAAAAAAAAGAAAGGACAAAAGAAAAATCGGAGCAAAATTCGAGAGTAAGAAGTAAAAAAATGAAAGAAGAAAACGAAGAAAGAAAGAAAGAAAGAAAGAAAGAAAGAAATAAAGAAAGAAAGAAATGAGAAAAATGCAAGAATGGGTAGAAACGAAAAAAGATGGAAAATGGAAAAGTAAACTTACAGAGAAAAAAATGAACGAAGCAACAAATAAAAGAAAAAAAAGAATAAAAGAAAGAAAGAATTGAGTGGCAGTGAAAGTAATATGATGATACGAATTATGAAAAAAGAAAAGAAACAGGAAGAAAATTTGGAAGTAAAATGAGGAACGAATGAAAAAAGATGAAAAATAGAAAATAAAATAAAATGATAGAGATGAAAAAAAAAAAAACAAAAGAAAGAAAAATCTGAATTATTGAAGGAAAAATGATAGTTGTAAAAAGTCTAAAGAAAGACAGAAAGAAAGAGGAAAGAAAAGAGAAGAAAAAAGAGAAAGATGTAAGGACGACCGAAATAACGAAAGAAAGAAAAAGAAGACTTAAAGAAATAAAAAGAAAACGAGGAAGAACAAAAGTGCGAAGAAAGAAAAAAAGTAAAAAAACTGAGAGAAATTATAAGGAAATGTTTCTCAAGTGAAGGTGCAAGAAAGAAGGAAAGAAAGAGAAAGAAAGAACAAACAGACAGACAAACAAACAAACAAAAAGTAAAAAGAAAAGAACTCGAAAAATTAAGGAAAATATGATTTTCAAGTAAAGGTGCTTCAGCGTAAAGTCATGGCTAGCGAGCTCGTCCAGCAATCCTACTGCTAGAGTGAGTTCGATCCTTATGCTGTTCCCTGTAGTGTAATTGTACCAGACTAATTTCTGTTTAGTATTAAATATCAAAAGAAGTGCTCACAAGAGAGGGAAGCGGATTATTTGTAAAGAAGTCGAGGTTTGTAGACGGCAATCAGTCGCAGAGGAAAATGGATTGTCATACGTCGTAAATATTGGCGTGTATGTGATTCTATCTGGGCCTGTGTTGTCTGGCTCTGAGCACCGAACGAACGAGAAAAGAGGGAGAAAAAGACAAAAAAAAAAAAAAAAAAACCAGGTGCGTGGGGTTGGGACGTCAGGGGCGAATTGGCTGATGAGGAGAAGGAGGCGAAATGATCACTGAGAAGAAATGTCTTAGATAATAGAAAAGAGGGAAAAGGAGGGAGGGTGATGACGTGGGTGGGTCTCCTCGGATGAAGGCGGGGTTAGGGTTAGGTGGGAGCAACAAGTAGAAAGAGATGAATCCCGCCTCTAATGCAGTGGTTAGCGCGCTGGACTCGATAAACAATGATTGTTAAGTGGGTACTAAAAGTTACTGGCCTCGTGCCTGACTTGTGATAGCAGGAAATAAACCTCATACGAGTTAACTGAAAGGAAAACACAAAATAAATTCAAAAGAAAAACAAGTAAAAAACTAAAAATGAAGAAAATTTAAATAAAGAAAGGAACAAGTAGAGAGTAACGAAAATAGGAGAAAGACAAATAAAATGGAAAGAAAGAAAGAAAGAAAGAAAGAAAGAAAGAAAAGAAAGAAAGAAAGAAAGAAAGGAAGAAAATAAAAAGAAAAAAGAAAGAAAGAAACAGTTAGGAAGTAAAAAGGACATGTAGAAAATAATGAAAAAAGAAAATAAAAACAGAAAGAAAGAAAGAAAGAAAGACAAAAAATAGATAAGAAAGATAAAAGAAAGAAAGAAAGAAAGAAAGAAAGAAAGAAAGAAAAAGGGACAACGAAGAAAAAATGAAAAAATAAAAATAAAGAAAGAAGGAAAGAAAGAAAATAATAAAAGTAAGGTAGTAAGAAAGAAAGAAAAAAAAGAAAGAATAAAGAGTTA